TTGGCAATCTAAGTGTTCTCTGACAAATACCGAGCATCTTGCACGGTGTTGGGCTGTGAGCACAACCCCCATCTGTGGATGTTGGGCCCTCATGCCATCCTCATAGTGTCGGTTTCTAACCATTTATGCTGACACATGCACTTTTGTTGCCTGCTGGAGGTCATTTTGCAGGGCTCTGGCAGTGCTCCTCCTGTTCCTCCTTGCACAAATGGGGAGTTAGCTGTCCTTCTCGGTTGTTGTCCTCCTAAGGCCTCCTCCACGTCTCCTGGTGTACTGGCCTGGCAGCACTTCCAACCTCTGCATACTATGCACAGACATAGCAAACCTTCTGCCACAGCTCGCATTGATTGGCCATCCTGGATATGCTGAACTATCTGAGCGACTTGTTTGGGTTGTAAAGTCCATCTCATGCTACCACCAGTGTCAGAGCCCCAACAACACTCAAAAGTGACCAAAACATCAGCCACAAAGCATAGGTACTGAAAAGTGGTCTGTGGTATCCACCTGCAGAACCATTCCTTTAATGAGTATGTCTTGGAAATTGCCAATAATGTCCACATGTTGTCCATTCCATTTGCACAACAGCATGCGACATTGATTGTTAATCAGTGTTGATGGACAGTTTGATTTTACAGAAGTTTGATTGATTGAAGGTATCTTGTGGCGTTTACTGTACGTGGTCCCTTTATTTTTTTGGGGGGGGCAGTGTATACTTGTTGCTTTATTGCTGCATTTAATATTTAATCATTAAGTTTTAATTATGGAGAAAATCCAGATGTTACAACTGTACTGATTCCTGTATATTTACTGTGGTTTGGGTCAGGCAAAAATAAAATCTAAATTTGCCAGCATGCCATCTGCTCTAGACTTCCTTGTGCTGCTATGCTCTCACTGATAACAATGGCTTTGTTTTTGCTGAACTGTAATTTGGGGGTAAGAGGGATTTAGCTAGTTTTTGAGAAAAACTCTGACCGAGGAGGGTCAGAAACTTTTATTTTGGTAAAGAGGTGTGGTTATCGATGTTGCCCATCCAAAAGCTGTGATTGGTTGATTGAGAAATAAAATGCACCAATCATTGAAGACATAATACTTCTCATAAAAGTTAGATTAAGAAATGTATTCCATGATGCTGACACATCAGCAATACCATGCAGTGAAGTTGATGTCACATAGCATCTTGATGTTTGTATTTATGTTATTAAAACCCTCACTATTATTTAGATTTGCTTATTGTTATATTTTCTCACAATGCTTGCAAGCAAAATTATTTTATCTCATATTTATCTATCATATTTTACTATGATTGCATCCTTGTATAAAGAGGTTTTGTTTGGATAAACAATCATAAAATATAGAAAAAAAAACATTTAAGAAAAACATACTGTAATTGCACATACTGTTGGTGCAATGAGGCACAACCATCATTTTAAAAAGAGAATGGGACACATTTCTTAGAGATCCACTGAATGATTCACAATCCTTACATTCAATCCCTCCTCTCCTTATTGATCAAAGAGCCATATCATCATTATTAACAATCACACTTAAAGGTATAGCGGAGGATGTTCTTTTTCCGGTCGGATCATCAAAATAAGTGGTCCTCCTAATTGTCACTCATTCTGGTGATATGTAAGACTGTCCTACGTGCTCGTCCCCATTTTCACTTACCGATGGTGAGTCTGACATGGTGGAAAAATTGCAAATCTTCTTTTGGAAAGCAAGCTTATATTAGCAATGCAAACAGCAACATTTAAACAGAGCGTGCACAAATCAGCATGCATGCTCTCGCATGCGTTTAATAGGCAATCCCTCTCCGGAGCAGATACAGGGTTGTGCATGTGCATTTTTACATTTTTAATTGGAGAGGGCGGTCTTTTTTTTTTAAAGTTTGCAAAAATCCTCCACTATACCTTTAAGCATGAGGGAACTGACTTTAGTTTTTTTTACTACATACAAACAAAAGCTATAATTTTAGCTGCAATCTCCTTGCAGAAAGATCACAGGCTGGGAATTGAACTTGTAACCTTCTTATTGCAATGCAGCAGTGCTATCCGCTGCTCCACTGAGCGGCCCTGGTTCAATGAAGTTATGAATTTAATGAATGAAAGATAAAAAGTCATAGGAGATGGCAGCTATCAAGTGAATTTCTAGATCACAATTCAGGCTATAGCATCTACATAATCATGTACAATACAGCAGATACAAATTTACATCTTCCATGTATAAAGAGCAAATATCGTACTTTTTCTTGTCTGCAGTGTGTATTCCTGTTTATTTTTTGAAATGTTTAGTATGTAGAGCATTTTGCGCAATATTTGTACATTTTAGAAATGTTTATTTTTCAATTAAAAATATAAAAATAAGATTATCCTCCATAAAATAACATTACAGGAAAGGCACCTTTAACCTGTCAGAATGGTTAAACAATCTAATTTCCGCAGATGATAAGTTGCCCACATCATTATATTGATAATTGTATGCTTATTAAAAAAAAAGGTTTATGTGCTAATCTACCCCACTCTTTACTTGGTGGATTAATCAAAATTTAGTCTCCGTTTCCACCATCTTCAACATCAGGTTTGTAAATGTATTTTTTTCAAGAGAGGACACAATATGGAAAGTTATTTGAGAGGCATGTGAGTCTTCTAAATGGAGGACATGTGGAGTTCACGAAACATTACACCTTTCTTTATTTTTCTATGTTGAACTGCTTGCCTTAATCAGATAAGACTAAAAGTAAAATCTTTTTTCGCGTCAAACACCCCACAAAGTTCTGAGTAGAAACAAAAGAGGAATATGTGAAAAACCATCTTACACAAGCAGTAAAGTATGGTGAAGTACCTGTAATGCTGTGGGTCTGCTTTACTTCTAAAGGCCCTAAAAGCCATGCAGAAGTGTATGGCATTATGAACATGTTTAATATTGGATTAAGAAATAAAAAGGAAGTAGTCTCCTTCTGGAAAACAAATAAGGATCATAATTATGAATTTTAAACTGGTCCTAATTAAAATTCTGATTTACCAACAGTAAATTTGAAAGATCAGTCTCATGGTGTCAACAAGCCATTAGCTCAGAAGCAGAGGAGAATATACATGATAAGACATTTGTTCAGTTAATATTTTATCCCCTTAAGGAAAAGCTGGATAACATGCAGGTATGGCCCATGTGCCATCATCTACTTTGCAGTCTGGTATCCTTCCATCAAAGCTTAGATTGAAACTTATGTACTGTGAAATTCTTGGGATCAGTTGTGCTCAGTAGCTTTGACTCACTGTTTGATTGTGTGTGCTCCATTTCAGCAATGGTTGGACTAGTAATTCCCTCTTATCTAAACAGCAAATGGAATTGAGTGGCTTTTCATCGTAAACGTACACTGAAAGTGATCATGCTTAAATTTGCGCATAAGTGGCAGATAAAATCCACAATTAAGGTGGTAAATTAAATTTTCGTCTCTCGGGGGTAGTCTGAAACCGCTAAAGGTAAGAGTGTGATCCTAATCTTTACTTTTTGGGATTCATCTCAAAAAAAGTTTCTAATTTGAAGTTGGATGGTTTTCATATTGTGTGTAATTGTGTGTTTGACCAAATATTTACTTTTGATTTTAATCTAATTCTATTTAAGGGACAACAATGAAAAGAATCTTACAAATATATTAGGAAAAATTATTAATACTAAAGATGTGTTGAGGAACCAGAGATCTCACAATATCAAAACATCCCCTAGTTTATCTTTAAAAGTAATCTGCTGTGAAAATATAACCTCATATGGAGAAGTAAGTGGTTTAAGCTTCAAATCATATTCTATCTGTTTTTTCTCTTATTTTCAACACTTGGTTACAGAAGCACTAGATAAGCCTCCTACTGTTCTATATTGTAGCAGCCTTGGAGTACTCAGTACGAGTAAATGAGCAAAGACATACGATTTATAGGCTTTCTGGTAATAAAACAACTGGATAAGGAATTGTTGCTACTGTGGATATATACAGTTGGCTTCTGCTCCAACATGTCCAGCCATCCTCAATTAAAGTGCTATTTACCTGGTTTCAAAAGACTACATTTTGATTGACTTTCCTTTAGAATAAAATATAATTAATATGATTAAATTGAAGTTATATTTGAGGTGAGTAAAAATAAAAACAGATGTTATTTTTTTTTCGTCTTAGAAAGTTACGCTATGTGTGTGAAGTTTTAAAGCGTGGGACTTATTTTTGTATCTTTTTAATACTGTATTACGTTTTATGGTGTTAGGGTATAGGTGGATTCTGGGGTTCTATGCAAATTAAGGTCCACATCTCAGTTAAATGTTAAGTTGTCAAAAAAATTCTTAAACCATCTGTCAGCTTAAATATACAATGAATAAGTACTTTCTTATTGATCAGATGGGTTCATCCAGGTTTCTTTTCCTCTTGATGCCTGTAGTCTTTATGGTTCTTAATCAGATCCTTGTTTTGCTTTCTACTCTGATGGTGCGGTCCTGTTGGTTGCTGTCAGAGTCATTGCCACCAATCCTGTTCAGGCACCACTGGTCTCTTGGCTTAGATGTGTCACAGACCCATTAACAAAGGTGATGAGTCACCGTGTTGTTGAGGACTGTGCAGTTACACTGTAATGTATCAGACACCCACAGTGTGGTTCCCAGAGCTCTTTGCCACTCGCTGTGACCATGCCTATTGGCTGGCTGTTCTGCCAGCGAGGCTTACAGGCCAGAAGCCTTGAAGGGAAAGCCCAAGAGAGCCAAAGATATGAGGCCAATGTGGCCAAGTGGTAAATTCTCACCTGCTACTAAGTGAGAATTAGCGCAGCGATCATTTTCCTTTCATGCTGTGAGTCACATAAGCCAGACCCCACAACCTGCTGTTACTTAACAAATGTTCTAACATGCAGAAGAAAGATATTTTCTCTTACTCTGTTTTAAGAAGCAGACCTCAGTCCTCCAAACTCACAAGAATCAGCAGATTTCTCCTTAAATACTGGCCTCTGACCTCGACTTCTCTTTTTCAGGTGTTCCTGCAAGTCATCGGAGTTATTGCGATAGCTGGTGTCATAATCCCCGGGATCCTTATTCCAGTTGTCCCTCTGCTTGCCGTCTTCCTGTTCCTAAGACACTATTTCCTGCAGACCTCCAGGGATATCAAGCGGCTTGAATCTACAAGTAACTGAACTGTTTTGGTGTAAACTAATACTTTATTGACTCTTCCATTTGTGGTGGTAGGTGGGTGTCGCCCACAGGAATGCTAGTGGACTACTATTGAAAGCTACTGTTTTAGCAGACAGATACCGAGGACTCGACCACAAGCAATTTCCTCAAGAGATTAGAGTACATGACATCACATATAACGGCAAAAGTGCCAATATGGCATGACTAGGCCATAGTTTGTCTTTTAATATAAGCTTTAGGCTAAAAGGAAATATCTAGATTTTATCAGTGACTTTGTTAGACCAGAAAATTGGAGCAGATGAAATACAATCTTTGTTAATTTAAACTATAAATTAAAAAGATGGCTGAAAAGTGCTTTCCTGAAGGAGTAAATAGGCTACATGTATTTAGGAGGTAATTATTTAGTATTCAGCATCTATCAACAAGCACACCAGAAAATATTCACAACTAACAACTGAAAGTTATCGCTGGACACACTAAATATGGTTTCTTGTTTTGTTTTTTGAGATAAAACGATTATTTTGCACTTTTAAGTGGTTTCTTGATTTATTAGTTGAACAGAAATTTTCCTTGGTTGTTTGCTTCCTAACGTTTGTTTTTTTAACATTTCTTAAAGTGCGGAGTCCTGTCTTCTCCCATCTTTCTTCCTCCCTCCAAGGCCTGAGCTCCATTCGTGCCTTCAGGGTTCAACATCAGTTCCAGCGAATATTTCACAAGTATCTAGATCTTCACTCAGGTTAGATTAATCAATTACATTTAAGCTATAGTGGAAAAAAGTAATAATTTTGATTTACTCTTGGGTCGACTAGCTTGTATATAGGAAAAATGTATTTATGAAGTTTCACATACTGTTTAATTTGTTATGCTTATTATAATATTGGTTGCAAAAGACACACTAATTACAATGAGACAGTAATGAATGATTTCAAAAATGTACATGTAACATAGTACAGTAAAAAGCTTGTAAGGTGAAATAACCTGGTTGCATAAATATGATACACCCTTAATCCCTTAGCTCCCACCTCCAGGCCTCGGGTCGTTTTAACTTCCCATTTTGTTCTTCTAGTTTATTTGTGAAAAAAAACCCAACATGACTCTTTAGAATAAGGCCAACCTACAGAAATTGACCGTCATCTCAATTGTAATCCAACTATTCTCCACAAAAAATACTTGTAAACTGTCATCAAATTAGAACCCATAATTTTCACTTTTTACATTTTTTCCCCCTATATTCTGCCATTCAAAAGCATGTTCTGCCATGTCCAGATGGGCTCATTTTTGTTCCATAACATTCTACAGAAAGTATTATCCAGTTGTATTTCCCATAAAATAAATTTTCGTGTCACAATAATCCACCAAAGCTGATTTTTTTCCATGGAAAAGTAAAATCACTAGACAAATAGTGTCTAGTGACATTTATCTGCATTATAGATAGGCTTTGTTACGTTGGCTTATTCAGCAATCTGTTTGCTCCCAAAATCAAGCATAAGTTACATTGTCAGTATCCAGAGTACTTCAGAAAATCCTGCATGTAAGAAAAGTCTATGGGTCACTGTGGTCTGCGCAGCTCAAACTCAACTCTCAAGTGACCGATCTAAGTTCGATTGATATGTTAGCTAATAAGATAAGCTTTGCAATGAAGTATTGGAAGTGTAGGGGCAGGCTAAAAACATCCTTAATTATGTGTGTAAGGACGGGGAGGAGAGTAGAAATACCTGGATCCGCACAGAAAATGCATTGTCAAAATTCTGAAAGCTGAAAATTGTAAAAGAAAATGCTTGACTTACATTTTTTGTAAGGCTACATATAGAAATGTGTTTTATATGGTGAAATTCGTCATAAAATTCAGATAATTTAGTTTGGCACTTTTGGTCCTGTTTTGGATCAATTATTACATTTGCATACTAAAAGGGTAAGAGTATCACATTTTTAATTATGCACAATTTTTGTTCACAACATGAGTGAGGTCAGCTATGAATTATACCCAAGATCTCCAATATTAAAAATTGCATTTAGATATGCAAGAAAGAAAACATTTTTTTGGACATGATTTTAGATGCATAGCTCAAGTTATCTAAAACTTAAAGAGTTTGTACACATACTTCCACAAACTAGAATAACTTAGCTTTCAAACCAGCTTGTGAGATTTATAATATTTTACTGGCCAATGGCATTTGGATATGCAACTTGTTTGTGCACAATCTATAAAAAGGTGGGAGCTCCTAATACTTAGTTGACCCAAGTATTTTTTGGTTGTAATTCTCCAGTTTGCATTAAAGAAAATTCTCTTAATCTGTTAGCTTTCGAAGACCTTTCTTTTCAGATTACCCGCCAGACATTCTGTCAAATTTGGTTCTAAGCTATTAAAAAATAAACTTGAATAACCTTTTGATACTGTGAATAGTACCCAAAATGTTTGATTCTTATCAGTGCTGTATTTCGGAATGTTTTCTAATATCTCTATGTAGAAATTATACAAATGACAACATGCAAATGGTATCTTTTTACCTACAGAGGCCTGGTTCCTCTTCTTGACCACTTCACGGTGGTTTGCTGTGCGTCTCGATGGAATTTGTTGCATTTTTGTCACAATTACAGCTTTTGGCTGCCTGTACTTCAGGGATGGTATTGTATTTGTCACAGACACATGCACTAACTTGTAGAGGATCATTATATTTGAGATATTGCCTGTTAGAACACAGCAGCTAATTCACATTATTTTCCTTTTTTACATGTGTTAAAGGCCTGGAACCAGGTGCTGTGGGCTTGGCTCTGTCCTATGCTGTGACGCTTACAGGCATGTTTCAGTGGGGAGTCAGACAGAGTGCAGAGATTGAGAATCTGGTGAGATCATCTACATATATGTCTACATATACAGTATGCAGGGATGAAAGTAGCTTTAAATTCTAGTGGTGCTATTACAAAAAAGACCCCTTAATATCACTTACTCCCTTCATGAACTCCATATAACAACAGATTACAGTTTTCTAAAATGGTTAATTAAATTAACTGGGATTGATCAGTTATTGACATAATAGTTAGCTGTTGTGTACTGAATCTAAAACAATATATTTGCTTAAAGGACTTCCCATCCAGAGCAGTTAATTGTTGTATTTTGCAATTAAATAAAATTGGCTGAATATGATCTATTCAAACTCTTCAAGTCAGCATTACTTTTACATTATCTGGTTAAAATTACCTAAGGAATCTTCTATTAGGCACCTTTTTCTATTGGATTATTAATCGGTTAATTGAAAAATAGTCAACAGATTATTTAGGCTTTCAATACTTTTCTGTACGCTATGGACAAGGCAGAAAGAAGAACCACTGGCAAAATATATATTTTTATTGTTAGGTGCTAAAACATGCATAATTGAGCTGAGAGATAGTGGTGGTTGTTGTAGTGTGTGTCTGTTTGAGGTGTGGTGTCCTAGCGGTGATGGAGGGGGTATGGTTATGTGGCTGTCGCTTCACCTTAACCTTAAATAACTGCCAAGTGCATACACCTATTTTTTTGTAACACAATAAAGTGCATGTTGTTATTCACAATATTAGCATTTTTACTCTCTCTGGGGGTTTAACCAAACCCTCCTCTCGTTAATTGTTAACTCTTTAAAGGGGCATAGTCAGGTTATAAGTTTTCTTAAATATCAAAACTTTCTGCTTTCATATAATTGATCATTTTTCTATAATACCCCTTGTTTTCGCATTGTTTCTTTGCAGTAACAGCAGTGCTTGTTCGGTGTTTCGTACTGCGCATGTGTGCAATGGGTACAAACAAGGGAGTGCAGGACTAAGCACCTCCTAGTGGAAATATGAAAATAATGAAGAAAAGGCAGAGATACAGTGTGAGGAAAAAAACATTTTGAATCAAAGAGGAATAATACTCAAGTAGAATGGAATACAATACAGCATAAACGGTGGTGATTCATGAAGAATACTTAAGATCAGATTCAATTCAGGGCGCATCAACCATGCACCTAGAGAAGGGAAACAGCATATTAATACGTTAAATATACGTTTATTTTATACATTTTAAATAAATACATTTATTTAATTTATTTAAATATATTTTAAATAAATATTTTAAATATTTATTTAAATATTTCTACTTGACTCTGTTTTCCTGTTTACATTGGTTAGGGACGCACATTTTATTTTCCATGATGCTCTCATAGGAGGCTCTGGAGAGGATTCACTAGAACTTAAAGTTTATGTGATTAAAATTGGTAGGTCCTCAACCACTCCAACCTGCAGCTTTAATGAGAGGCATTGCATGACAGACAGACTCTTTAAAGTAGCTACATCATTGGGCTGTATGCACACCCAATTCCACTTCTTCCTAAAATTCGACCAGCTCCTTTTATTTCCAGTCTTACATTACTGGACTAACTGATAAATCCAGGCGTGTTTTACCCCTGTAACCATGACGAGAATGGCTAGAAACACCTGGATTAATCAGTTTGGAGCTGGGTGAAGTTTAGGAAGTAGTGGAGTTGGGCATGTAGCCCATCATTGCCATCTGGTTTATTGAGAGTTCTGCAGTACTGCCAGCAGAGGACACACACGTCTGTTCATGTCTGCTCATGGCGCTCAGAGCTGGAATTCTATTTAGGATCAAAAAGGACTATCAGCACATTATCAGTTGGGCCGCTTTGTGCATTTGACCTTATTTTAACATGATCAAAAGGTTTTTGGCATTTTTTTGGTAATATAACGTCACTTTAAAAAGCGCTCTTTAAAGTCTGTAGTCATGCATTTTCTCCATTTCTTTCATCCCCCATGTAGTGCAGCACTGACTCCATTTTATTCTACAAACACCTGCTGCGTGGCTCATACTGGTTTCATTGAGTAAAGTCTGCCTGTAGAGGAGAATCAGCACCCAAATCATTTTTTTTTCAGTCATGGAAGCCAATAGAGGCTCAGATTAAAAGCCTACTGCTGGGAAAAATTATGTCAAAGGGTTAGAAACTGTAACGTGTAGAAGGGCAATAGCATTGAAATGTATAAAAAAATCAAAAGTCAGATTATGGGTAATGACCCAGCATAACAAACCCTGCATGCCTAAAGCATCACTGCAGATTGAAATAAACTCTGACGAGAGTGAGAGAGTATTTGGATTGACAGCCGGGGCAGCTTGGTAAGAATGCCTGCAGCTCTGCTTTGTTACATTTAGGAAAAATGCTTCTTTTTTATTATTAGACCCAGTCAAACGTGGAACATTGTTTAAATTTTGGTTGACATGGTGGCAGAAGAGAAAAATGTGGTACAGTACTGTACACATTGGATCATTTGGTCACCATTCCTGGTTGTCAATATTCTATTTAAATGTCTTTCTCTTAATGAGAATTTTTTGCAATGCCATTCTTTTCAGAATCTCCTCTGAAAAACTGTGGGATTTTGAACAGATGAAAAATTTTGTCACTTTAATGCAAACATATATTGTAATACAGCAATATAAATTATCTCTACATAACAAACTAGGTGTGATAGTTCAAAAATGGTGCCATCAGCAGCACTGGGGCTTCTGACAAACATTGTTGAGAGGTAACTTCTGTTACCCTTCAGTTAAAGAATCAGTTTTTTTCTTGGATTACTGTGGAGAAGGCCAACATTTAAAGGGCAATAGCTTCCTAAATAATTTTTTTTTCAATGTCCACAAGTTTTACATTCTTGGAAAGACTCCACTCTTTAAGGAACTGTAAAATACTCAAAACAACTCTGGAGTGACATGTTGAAGGTTTTTTCTTGTCATGTTACAAATATCCACATATGAAGGAAAGCATTACTTTATCATAATCTATGCAATACCGATAGACGGGCAATAAACAAAGCTGAGGCATATCCTCTAAGAAGTTAAACACTTTACAGACAGAACTTTATAGTGATGAAAATTATTCCTTTTCTCATGCTAAAAATGTTATAATACACCAAGATACCTTCTCTCATTAACAAGTGAGAGTAAGATTAATATATCAATCTTTAATATATCATCGGGATGAAATGTCCCGATGATCCTCTCTGCTTTTCTCACCACTTTTCTCACTTTCTTCCAGTCTGAGGTGCTACAGCCTCCACACAGCTCAGTCTATTGTGTATATAGTATATAGCTATATATTATATATTGTATATAGTGTATTGTATGTTTTATATTGTATATAGCTATTGGTTCTGTATTCTGTATATATATATATATATATATATATATATATATATATATATATATATATATATATATATATATATATATATATATATAATATAATTTGTCTGCAACATCAACACCAAGTCAAATTCCTTGTAAGTGCAAACCTACTTGGCAATAAACTTGATTCTGATTCTGATTTGGATGGTTAGATTTTAGAGTGTGCCAATTTATATTGTAAAAATAGTTATAAGCAAAGTTCTTAAACTAAATTTGCATAAAGTTTCTGTGTTATTCTCTCTAGATGACATCTGTAGAGAGAGTGGTTGAGTATGCTGAACTGGAGAGCGAAGCACCTTGGGAGACGGACAAAAAGCCTCCTGCAGACTGGCCCCAGAAGGGCTCCATCTCCTTTGACAACGTTAGCTTTTCTTACAGCGACAGCACGCCTTTAGTCTTAAAGAACCTCAGTATTGTCTTCGCATCCAAAGAAAAGGTTATAGTCTTGACATTCACCTGTGCATGACTTGATATGCTGCCAGTTTGGGAGGCGTGCTGTGTTTTCTGTTTTTTATGTGCCATTATTTTTTAATCAATTATTAAAGGGACATCATATTGTGCTGCTGAATCTTCAGGACTATACCATTTGTGATTCATGGAATACATATCATGTAATTAAGACTGTTCAAGTGGATCCATTTGTTTCCAATTTGCATTTTGAGCTACCTGAAGGTGACAACTGTTTATTCAGTATAAGAGAGAGGAGAGGCCAAGGGAGAGGAGCAAAGGAAGGCAAAAGGGAGATGGTTAAGGATGATTGAAATTGTGTTTAATGCAGGGGGTGTATTTTGCATGGTTATGGTTGGCCAGGGCAGCTGATTTCACAATGGATGGGCTGATAAGTGAAAAGTCTCTGGCTCTGACAGCCCATGGGAGGGACCTCTGCAGCGTGCCCAGGGGGGTTAAAAGGCGGTGCTCATGCTATTTCCCCTGCCACCTTTTTTATTCCTGCACCTTGCAGCTTTAAGAAATTTTTCTCTAGCCTTAAACTAAAAACAGTTGTAAGCAAAACTTTAATTGTCAAGATATATATATATATATATTTGTTACCAGAAACACCTCCTAATTTGGTCTTTAAAATGCTTAAAACATTGCATTTTACAGTGCTTAATGCTGTAAACGTTACCGTTGTTGAGGTAATGCTGAAATGAACCCTGAGTCCTCAGGCTCTCAAGCTATGGTATTGATTTACAGCTCAAACTAGGCATTAAGAAAATACCAGGGTTTTGGGAGCGGCAACAACGGCCATATACTGATGCTCCCTGTCAGGCCTGGTTCAATTAAACTTTGTTTTGATAAAGATCCTCAGGTGATCTTTATCAAAGTAAAGACATCCTTTATTTCTTTTCTTTGGCCATTATGAAGAGATTATAAGTGTTATTCACTTCACCCTTCCATAATCAGAAAGTAATGGCTGACTGATGTCAATATGTGTTTTTGTTTGTATATAGAAAACAGTATAAAAGTGAAAGATCTCCCCAATTTTATTTAATATGCCAATTACATTCTTCCTTACAGAAGTGACTTTCAGTTAATGTGTTATGCTTTGAGTAAGAGTTTCTTTCTTATGGATTTGTTGAGTTTTAAGGATGTGCTCTGAAATATTCTTTCCTTTCACTGTAGGTTGGGATTGTTGGACGCACCGGAGCTGGTAAAAGCTCCCTCATCTCTGCCTTGTTTCGACTGGCAGAACCTGAGGGAAGGATAACAATTGACGGCATTCTGACTTCAGAGATCGGTTTGCACACGCTGCGCCAGAAAATGTCGATTATCCCACAGGTGCGCCATTGAAAACTGTATTTTCCTTAGGAGCTTCTTCCTAAAAGAAAAAAAAGATCAAATAAAACAAGTACTCTTTTTAACTTGGTTCTTTACTAACACTACTTAATTTTTGCTTGGATAGTTTAGATAAAGTGTCTGACTGATTCTTTATGATTGAGATACGATGGTAACATCTCCTTGCTTTGGTGCCTTTTTTTTTTTCTGCCCACCTGACTTTTTAAAAGCAAAAACAAGTGAGGAGAATTACAGTCGTCTCTGGGGATTTTTGAAAGTGAGACAAACTGATGCCTTGAGACAGTTTAACTTTATTTCCGCTTGTTGAAACTGATACGGCATTAAGAAAATGCCAGCCTGCGGGTGGGTGTCAGAGTGGAGGGAGGGGAGAAGACTCCCACGGCCTGTACTGTGAAGAGAGCAGTTCCCCATCCCTGACAGAGGATTAGCCCTCTACCCCCCAAACATGGGAAAGCCGCTTAAAAGAAGCTCCCCATCCTCGCAGTCAGAGTCCCAGCGAACACTGTCACTTAGCCCAAGTCTGAAACATTTCTGCTGTAGCCAAGATGCCCAAAAACAATTTCATTAATGCTTCTCTGTGGAGTTGATAGGTTTCTGGCATATCTGCCTCTTCAGATGAAGTTTCACTTTTTTCGTCTAAACTAGTTAGAGATGGATGCGAGGTGGATATGATGCGTGTTTGATTGGATTTTGTTTATTCCCTCCGACTTCTAAAGTGAAGACTTTAAAAGTGCCAGGTTATGAGCCAGAACTTCAACTGTACATTTATCTGTCACATACAGTGCGACATATTGATTATGTAGGCAGAACTTTGCAAAATGCGTATCATTTTATATACCGGTAAGTAAATTCATCTGAATACTTTAAAATATATTTTAGTAAATATCACAGATAAATCAAAAGATAACTTTTTGCTTTGATAAAAAAGTGGTTGCCCTACTTTTACCTGGACCTACAGTATTTAAAGTCAAACCTGTACTATAAAGTTCCATTGATGAGATTCGATTCTGATAGGTTTATAACAGCATATGGAATTAAAAAGGATCCATTTCAGTCTCTATTGAACCCTCAGGAATGTCTTAGTGTAACATGAATTCTGTGGCAAACAGAGGGCTTGGAACTGCTGGAGCACATAATTGGCGCATGGAAAGCTGTGCTTGAAAGCAGTTTTCCAACCTTACACTGAATCCTCAATTAAAGTGTGTCACAGAACTAGTCTGCTTTGGGACTTTGTCTGGCTTTATGACAAGGTGGTATTTTGGTGACAGAGGGAAAAGCTTATTGGAGTTGAAGAGGTGGAACATTTTGGGAAGGCACAGGTAACAGTGATCAGGGTTGGAAAGGTGTATTATTGTGGAAGAAAAATTGAGCTGTTAGTCTTGACCCTTTTGACGCTACGGGATATGACTTGTCGAAATGCGAAATTCCATTTTTAACACTTTTTTTTTTGGCTGCTTTGTCCATCTCTGGACTATTTAACACGCCTTGTGAAATTATTATTAATGTTTAACATATTGATCACAATACAACTGTAATCATATTTTATGCAATTGTAGAGCATGATGGTTAGGTGTAAAACAAATATTACAGGACTTTCAAATTTTTTACAAATAAAATCCTCGTAATCTTGGGAATATATATTTTTTCCTATCAAACTATGGGAACGGATATTATTCAATGGCAGTCTATATTAATTATTTAGAACATGGTCAAGGTCAGAGAGAAACTTCTTTGCTAATTTCAGAATTAAAATATAATTTATAACAGGGCATCTTTCATGTCTATTCAACTTCAGTTAACTTTATAAAACTTTAGTGTAAACATTTCTGATTTTTGGGGAAGTGGCTGCAGTGCTGATTTTTTTTAAAAGGTTAATAATGTGATTCCTTAGAAAATAAATTCCTTAAAATCCTTTCTGTTTTATCACTCGTCTCTGCCCAAACTGTACAGGAAATGGAAACTTCCGGGAGTTAACTTTTTTCGGTTTTGGATTTAAACATTCGTGTTAACATTATGGTATGCAGTAGGTAACCTAAAGACAGAAAGTAAAATGAAGATAAACATAGTTTAATCATTTGCCGGACTCAGAGCTGATGACATCTGAGAGGCAGTTTAACGGAGAAAATTTAAAAAGCATCAGAATTGTCTCAGAAAAGTCATAAAACATTTTTAAAGCCGTGTATTAGCATACTTTAGTGAGTTGAGGGTAGAAATAAGTAATTTTAGTACCATAATTACAGTATATATGGAAACCCAGATGTAAATCTGGTTGCACATGCGCAAATGAGCTGATGGTATGGATTGTGCTTCCGGGACGGATCGGGTAGTGACACAGCTGAAGACCTAGCTTTACTACACAAACATGATGCCAGTTTATGCTCCTGGGTGATCGAGGTGTTGCATGGTAAAGGATAGTTTTGAGTTTACACAATCACTTTCAGTTAACAAGTTCCATTCTCTAGATGTACAAAGATTGTAGAGACATACAACAAAAATCTAACAGATGCAAATAGAGCACAACAGGGTTCTTATAAGTGTAACATTTGGGACATGAACAGCAAATACACAAACTAACAGATTTTAAACCAAAAAACCTTTAAAATACTTTCAATAAATTCCCCTTCTCTTGAAAACCATGGACTGCCTTAGGTTAACATTTCATAAAATCAAAATAAAGTGTTACAATGTTGAAGAATGTATCAAAAAAGTTATTGCGGTATATTTTGTAAGGTAGCCTCTAACCATGATGCCAGACCTGTAACTTTTTGGACTGATTATTATCTTCATGTTTCTTACTGGTCTAATCTTGCAGTTTTAAAATAAATGCATTGTGTTTAGAACTGAGGTCAGATATATATCTGCAGTAAAACATTTGACACTGGGAAAGATAAGATGGAAACATAGCATCTTGATTAACATGCCTGCTGCTCTGTATCACCTTTGTTTGACATATCATTATCATCTTTTTTCAGGCATGTTAATTAGATCCACTATAATCCTACCAGTGATTGTTGCATGATAAATCAATCCAAATTAAATATATAAAAAGAGGATCAAACACCTTACATTAAGCTGCTGTGATAGGACTAGTATTCAGTATGATGTATTTGTATACAATTTATTTAACTACAAAGGTATAATAGAAAACTATTTGCAATTTTAGGTGCAAAGAAGGTTAACTAAAGACAGACATGAGTCTGAAGTTTTTTTTGATATCTTTTACCATATATATATAATTTTAGTAAATAATTTACAACAGTTTATACCATTGATTATCAAACTTTACAATCTTGGCAGCTTTAATAAAAAGGAAATATTTTCCGCTGATCCTCAGTAAAAAGGACTCAAAGATAATCAATTTATATTTTATCCAGGAAAAAAAAAAAAAACTCAACTTATACAATATTCCTTTGATTTTGTTTATTTATTTTTTGTTTTTAGCAAATGTAAGCTAGTTTTATTGTGATTTATTCCCACTGAATCGTGTTCTTGCAAAATAAAAAGAAACTGTAGAACAGCACCAAATGAAAACATAGCATAGAATGTTACTTGTTTTCTTTTTCAAAAATAAACATGATACAATATATGTTTTCATGGAACTGCAAAGTTAAGTTGGCCAAAGACCCTTGAAGATTATTAAAAGCAATACTTCCTTTGCATGTGTCAGTCATCTGGGTCATAGCAATAAAAAAACTTTAGTTGAAAAGCAACCAGACTTTCCAGAAGTCTTCGTGATTTCTGTTGGGCTGCACAAAAAACCTCTTCAGAAAAAAAACTGAGCTGAAGTCCGGTTGCATTCCAGTTTAAGCCTGTTTTGTCTAAAGCATGCTATTTGACAGCACTCTATCTTTCCAAAAGCACATCAACAATACACTCTGTCTGCCAACTTCTACTTGCAAAATACTAACAACCCCTATCCGTCCATCACCCTTGCCACCACCGCAATCCTGATCTTAATTCTTGTCACATAACTCCCTGCTCCACATTAAAGCATGTATAAACTCCAAACTGATCCAGAACTTTTTTGCCAATGCCATCTTAACAATACAACCAGCCAATCACATTTCTACTACAGTAGACTGCATTAGCCCCATTGTCTTCCAATCAGATACAAATTCAAAATCTTCCTTTATACATTTATACATTTTAGGCCAATTATCACCTCGCACCTGTCCAACATCCTTCTCATTAACGTTCCTTCCGGGTCTCTCAGGTCAGCCTCCTCTCTCAATCTCATTGTGCAACCATTCTGTCTGAGCACTACGGGGTCTTTGCCGTAGCTGGTCTGCCTCTGGTCTTCAGAAGACATCAGAAACTTTACAACCATTTCCCATTTCTGAAAACACATCTGTTCAGAAAAGCATTTTTGTCTTGATTAGCCCCATTATACTGTTATTATTTTTGGTTTTCTTTTTAATTTGACCTTTTTACTTTTTATTGTAAGGTAACCTTAAGTAATCTTAAAAGGAGCCTTTTAAATATAAGTTAATATTTTACAGTTTTATCAACATCAAATTGAACTATACACAGACTTATTAAATGAATTTAATTTTTTTAAATAAAACTATATCAGTAACTCAATTTACTAAGTAAAACTCAACATGTAGAGCAATATACACAGATATTTTAAAGCCTTAAATTATTTTTCATTTACAGCTAATGGAAAAACAACATCAAAGCCTTAAATATATTAAATCTAAAAGGTAAAAGGTTGTGCTGTCAACATCTATTACCTTCTTAAAGTTATTTTCAGTCTTTCATACTTTGTATCAGACAAACAAACCTTATTGTGATGCATGTTGTAATTTATTTTAAGAGGACATCTGAGAAAAAGGTTTGTTACTTTAGCATATTATTATTATTGTTGTTGATTTATGCTTCCCTGGCCGTCTTTTAAAGTAAATTTGCTGATTGTTGTAGTCAGGTTTTCTTTAAAAAAATCTGCTTGTGTTTTTTGTGCAATTTTTTTTATTTATTTATTTATATTTCCCTTGTTTTTTGACTTGCCACCATAGGAACAATATGTTATGAGAAGCTTGTTACATCTAGAATCATGTTATAATTTTATGAACAACATAAAACCCTTGATTTTCTATCAAACCCTGTATACAAGATGTCATTTTTGTCTAGGAAGGTCAATATATTTCAGCATAGTTAGGATCAGCACTGAATAGAGCGCCGCAGCGAAGCAAGTCCTTTGTGAACATCTCCCTTCACACATTGCCTCTCAGTCTTCTATAAATCCTGTTTTTAACCCTTTTATACAACCCCCACCACCTTTATTATTTTAACTGGCTATGGCCTTCTCTTTCTATATCCATCTAACCACAGGACCCAGTACTCTTCACGGGCACCATGAGGAAGAATCTGGACCCTTTCAAGCAGCACACAGATGAGGACCTGTGGAATGCACTCCAAGAGGTACTCCAGCGTGGCTCTGAATGATTCCCCCTCACCAGCCCAGGGGGGATCCCTCTGTCCCTATGTACAATGCTGCCATTCAGCCTCCCTGCTCGCCACAAGTCATGGGGGAAATCCCATTAGGGCCATGGGGCCCAGCTCAATGTGCAGCTTGTAACGGGGAACCATTGAAAGTGCAAGGGAAGATGTGTTTGGTCAGTCAGGGCAAGCATGATGAAGGCTCCCCCCACAGTGAAGGGCTGCAGCTCCTGGTCCTGCCTCTGAATGGGTTTGGTGGCCTGGATTAAAGTTAAAGGCTGGCCACAAGAGAGCACTGGCCAAGGTCATCAGTGGACCTGGCTCTGCATTGTGCCAGCCGGTTAATGGGTGTCTTTGGGTGGCTCTTTAAAGAGATCTCCACATGGCACCTTTATGCAGAAGTAATGAGGGGTTGGGGCTGTGCTCTCTCTCTGCAGGTGCAGATGAAGGCGGTGGTGGAGGAGCTGCCCAACAAGCTGGAAACAGTGCTGACTGAGTCAGGCTCCAACTTCAGCATGGGTCAGAGGCAGTTGGTGTGTCTGGCCAGGGCCCTCCTAAGGGAAAACCGAATCCTCGTTATTGATGAAGCTACAGCAAATGTGGACCCGAGGTTAGAAAACAGCATTAAAAAATATATATATAAAGACAGTATTTTCCCTGTCTGGGTTGTCAGTTAACACAAAGAAGACATTTCAGGTTGATAATAATGAAAAAAAATTTCTGAAACATAACGATATACAATACGACGTACATTATTTGCCAGTATAGCCGTTTACCATTGACTGCTCATAATTTCCATTGACTCCTAATAATTTACATTTATCCAAGGACATTCAGCACATTTTTTTTTTTAATTTTAAGTCCTTTGAAAGAGAAAAATCTGAAATGTATTGTAGCCAGGGGATGCCTACTATAATTAGTCCATGTCTACCTATTTTAGGATTTAAAAGATTTTTTTCTTTGCTCTGTTAGGTTATTGTTAAGTTGCTGACAATGACCAATCTATGGTCTGGTTTATATATAATAAATGACAAATCAAATTATTTAACATTTCTAAGAGTGCTCCTATGCTACGTTCAACTCAGACGCACCTCTGGCAGCCTAAAATCTTCTGCGGATTCATTTTTTATGCTTGCACACATTAAGGTCCCTGCAGTAGCTGGGGGGTTTCCGCTACTATTCGTGGCGGCTGGAGGGAGATGTTGGCCATTTTCATATCCGTGCGACAAACTGCAGGCATCAGGATAAATAAAGCGAACATATTTTGCTGGCAGGTTTCGACATTTTAAGTAAATTTAATTTAGGCATTAATAAACTTTTTTAGTGGAGTGATCATAGCGCTCTGCATCAGCCACACTTTGTCTCCCTGCCAGCCTCAGACCAGCTTCTCTTACCCCATTTACACTACCCTTGAAAAACCGTGGCGAGACCGGTCCGAGCTCAGTAACTGAGATAACTTATCGTGTGTAAATGAAAAGCAAACGAACTGAACTGAGCTAGACACAGACCAGTTCCAGAGGTGGGCTCGGCTTGGTTTTTCCCTGGCTCGGTTCTCTGATAACAAGAGAGCATGAGCAGAATGCATCAACCAACCAACACAAAACAGAAGAAGAAGAACAACTATAAACAACAATCAAAATCCTCTCCACTCAACATTTTTATTTGCTTGATTCCCTCCTTCTTCGTCTTCTCATTCTTGTGTTTCATGGCGGTTGGCAAACAACTTTTGGTGCATTACTGCCACCAACTGCTTGATTTCCTCCTTCAATACTGGCAGTAATACCGTAGATCATCACTAGGAGGCGATGAGTCCTGAAACCGAGATAGCATGATGTGTAAACGGTCGTCAGAACCAAGCTCGGCCTGGTTAACAGATCCGAGCTCAGACCGGTCTCAGCATGGATCGGTTTTTTAAGGGTAGTGTAAATGGAGTATCTCATTGGTTGATGTGACGCATCGAGCAGCAAAGTTCCGTTTTTTTCCAACTCCAGCTTTTGCTGCTTGTGAAGAACCTCAGATGCTCAGAAGCTCATGAGGCGCTACTTCAGCTGCTCAGATGCGTCAAGAGCACTGCTCGAAACACGCTGCAGGACCTTCAACCATTGAATTTTCTTCTAAACCAATTGCTTCTGTAGCTTCTATGCCATGTGGTTTTAGTGTAGCATTACAGTTGAGTTTATTTTTAATTTTTTTGTTGTTAATCAGGATTTTAAAAAGAGCTCTGTAGATTGTGCATCAGTCTGATTATAGCTACAATAATTTCAATACCATAATGCCAGTTAAGGCTTTTAATCTATTAAAAGGTGGAAGTTAATTATCATTAAATGTTAAAAAATTATAGAAAATGTGGGTATTATAAAACTAAGGTAAAGTTTGTACATTTACATTTATTAACCATCCAATATTATCCCTGAATATTAATATATTTTATAAGGACTCTTTTTCTTAAATAATTAAATTAAAGAAACTACAGGCCTAAAAAGGTCAACAAATGTGCTTTTAGATGTGTAAAAATAAGCATTTATATATATTATATAATTTTTGAGTTCTTAGTTATACCTTGTTATTCATTTTTGTTTAGTATTTTCATTATTATTTATTCCTTGCTCTAGTTTTAGTTAGATATTCTTTCTCTTATCCTTTTTGTGTTCCATGGCTTCAGTTATCTCCAGTTCCTTCTCTTATCCTCTAGTTTTCCCCTTAGTTATTCCTAATTTTTATAGTAATTGATTTTGTTCCCCTTTAGCCTTATTTAAGTTGTTTTCTAGTTACAGTAAAACCCTGTTTTACCTGGTTACTCTTTGTTGCCCCTTAGTGCCTCTTTCCTTTCCCCTTAGCTCCTTTCTGGCTGCTTCTGACCACACCTGCTCCCACTTAACTGATCATTCCTCTCTTGGTTCTGTCTCCCTTATATATACTCCTCCTCTGCAGTTCATCAGTGCTGAATTCTCTTCATTACCTTGCTCCTCATGTGTGTTTCTCCCTGGCTTCTCTTGGTTTTTGGTTTCCTTCTTATTGTTTTTGGCTGTATGCTTCTGTTGCCATTTGTTTTTAAATTAAATCTGCAAGAACTCATCTCTGCCTCTGACTACCCTGCGTTTGGGTCGTCAACAACATCCACAACACTTGACATTCTCATTGTAACCATTGTCTGCAACATACAACCTCTTCATGATGCATTATTGTGAGATGAAAAGTTGATCAGTATAAAGCTGTGTGCATTAAAGAAAACCAATTTCAATTCAATGAAAAAGGTTAAACAAATGCTGAACTTGCAAACAATGATATCTGAGCAGCTTACAACAGTGTCTATATATTATCATCATCTTCACTATCTATTTAATAAATACCTTAACCAAGGTATTTAACCTTTTTTTGAACATCAAGAAAACTTTTTAATTGTTTAATGGTATTAATCCAACTTGGTTCTCCATAATCAAAAATGTTTTTTTATTTTTAAGTTTATTAGTTTTTAGTTAACATTTTATAGATGTAAATTATAAAGTTATATGTTAAATGGCCTTATGACTCAAACTGACTTCTGAAGCTTTTTAAAATGGACTGACTACTCTTGCTTGTAAAATACTTCTGAATTGTGCTCTGTTTCAATGTTTTGTCTTTAAAAGTTAATGCTCTTAACTTCAAGGACACCAGACCTTATTAACTCTATTTAGTTTCAGCCAAAGCGGTTTGTAAAGATTTATGAGAAATGTATAATGGCCTGTTGACCTGGTTTGTCATTGCCTTGAAATGTAAAACCCTTAATGAAATTATGGGAAATTAGATACAGCGTTTATGTAAATCAGATCACATTAAAGATACATCCTCAATTCAGAATTAATTTCAATATTAGTGCTAGTAAGATTTGAATTTGTCTAAATATTAGACTTTTTGTTTCACTTTGATGCGATGACAGTAAGAAAACCCACATACTGAAATAAAAAAGGTGAATTCTGTCAAGTTAAAAAGCCTGACAGTCTTCATTTGTTTCTGCTACTTTTCTTGCACATATTTTGCAACTGATGAGCCATTGTTCTGGCTTGCGTGAAATCCCTGCCCAAGGCTTTGTAGGCTGAGAAGTTTTTTGTGTTCTCAGGTGTTGTGTTCCCTTCTTCTTTAGAACTGACAGCCTGATCCAGCGGACCATCCGGAATAAGTTTCAAGAGTGCACAGTCCTGACTATTGCTCATAGGCTCAACACTATCATTGACTGTGACAGAATACTGGTAAGTAAAATCGCAGGAAATTTCCATTGTCCAGGACTCCAATTCCTGTTTTAAATTTATATATTTGTTCTTCTAAGATTAATAACACAAAACAGGCCATTTAAAAAAAAAAAAGTTTCAAATCGCGAAAATATTTCATCTGACAAAAATGTAGATTTTGTATCCCACCTCCTGCCCATTGACTACTGGAAGAACTCCAAAGATCCACAGGTGGGAGAATCTGTGAATCAAACAACTGTTAGTCATGCACTCCACAAATCTGGCCTTTATGAAAAGAGAAAAGGCTGTGTTAAAATAAAATTGTAATGATAAAAGGTTTATTCTGATTTGCCACAAGCCATATAGGGAAAAACTTCAAAATGAATGAAAGTTCTCTGCTCATAAGAAACTAAGGCAGAACTTCTTTGCTAACTTGCAAAATGCTCTGGCAGAAATCCAACTCTATACATGAAACTTGATCTGAAGAGTTTCACATCTATAAGAGGTAAACAACTAAGTAATTTTATTTATCTAGATAAAAGGAAACCTTGAAAGAAATTCTGCTAATGACAGAAGGTCTTGATTCATGTGGCAAAGGTTTATTTTCCAGCAGTAAAATGGAACCAAGGTTATCTGACTTCAGTCGTTGATCCAACACACCTAAATAAGATTACTAAATTACCTCCTCAGCATGCAAGCAATCCTATAGCTTTTTGCTAGTAACTTGATTATGTGATTCAGATCTGCTGGAGTATAGACACAAAAGTTACAGGACATGAGCCCTCAAAAGGAGTTTGTTCACTTGTGATGCATATAAACTATAGGGGCCCAAATTCCAGCTCCAAATTCAAATGGGATTATGGCGAAACAAAACACTAAGCGTAAGCCTTTTCTGCATTCTGATTTAGGGAGGTTTGAAACAAATGCATGCTACACTGTTTTATTTTAGTAGAAAAAAAAAGGTCTCACTTCCAATTCACAATTATGCACTACTCTATGCAGCCTATCACATATTTCAACTTTAAACTTTGTAGTCATACTGTGACAAAATGTAGAATTTGGACATGAATGCTTTCTAGCGCACTTAACCTTACTACTGCCTTAATATGTGAAATAAATTAAGTTCCTCCTTGGTTCAGAATGTACATTTGAGCCAATTGTCATCAGCAGAGGTTCTTTACATTGCAACTTTTATTTATTTTTTTTTATTTTTGCACACCTTTGGCTCTGACAATGTCGATGCTTCTATCTGTATTACTAAAGCCACATCATCCAACATACCAATCTAATTCGCTTATTTTACAACAGCTGGCTTGATTCCTCCTACACAGCTTCCACTTTTATTTAATCCACACTTGTAACACTCGATCTTTGGCTCTTTCTTGCTACTGCCTGTTGAGGTGCCAATTAGTGGCATTTGTGGCGGTGTTTTTTAATCCTCTACGGAGAACGGGGCTCGACCTGACGGTTGTGTGGCCACTTAGACGATTCATCAGGAAAGCCAAAATATCATGCAGTGAGAACTGTTTCACACCTATGCTTGTGTTAAATGCTCCCGTGTGCTGAGAAGAACTAAACTGCGACCCCCTGTGAGTCGACTTTCACAAATTAAAAACAATCTTCAAGATGCAAACTCCATGTTCCAGGGTTCTGCACATCAACAATTGATAATGAGAGCAGCTGCAGAAGTCTCCCTTTCTTACCAACGCAGTTGACAAACTGTTTATTAGTGCTGCAAGGGGATCGGGCTTGTTTAAATTAGTCTGTGCTATAATTGTAGTCCTTTCTAAACTGCTTGAACTGGCACTATTCTTTGTGTGGTTTACATAGCATGCCATGACACAGAAATGATGGTAATTTTCTCCAGTGCCTTGAGGGTGTGATTGTTGGATTTGACTGAGGACCACCTCTAGGCCTCTGCAAATGCCTGGATAAATACATGGATAAATGTGTGATCTCCTGTCTGTCAGAGTCAGCGCTGCAGACTTTCGCTCTGCTAACAGGTTCCTCTCATTGTTATGGGCCGTATCAAGCAGAAACAGGCGCCTGTATTTGCAAGCCAACTGAGTCACCTGAAATGGATGGTTCCTTTTGCACACTGAACCACTGTTTCTCCCATTCAAGTTTGCATCGTCTGCATGCTCAACTCATCCAGTGAAACAGCTGAAATGTCAGTTTTCCCTAAGGTAAAGTATACATGTGTTGCCCCACACACCAATTATTCTGATGTGTGTGTGATTGCAGGTTCTGGATGCTGGCAGGATCCAAGATTATGATGAGCCATACATCCTGCTCCAGAACCAGGATGGGCTCTTTTACCAGATGCTCCAACAGACAGGCAAAGCCGAAGCTGCGTCATTGCTGCAAACAGCCAAACAGGTATCCATCTCTGTCCAAGTGCAGGTCTCTCACTAAATAAACGAGCAGCCATCACACACTAATCTCCCCAGACTCCAAAATAATACGAGCAGCAACAAAAGATGTCCATAACCCTGACAAAGCAAAGAAATTTGATTACCATTTTAATTTAAAGTGTCTTCTTGCAGCCTTGCAACACCATAACATTAATTTTAAAAGAGAAATTGGCTCTTTGTAGATTCAGATCCGCCGATCTTATCAAAGAAACTTTCCATATTATCTCTTTTCTCATAATATAATGTTGAGATCGTTTCATGTGATGAGTCTAGAAAAGCAGCTTTCTTTGCACTGTATCCGAAATATTGGGTTTAACTTCATCGCGATCCGGGATAAACTTTCTATGGGGATTACTGTAATAGAGAATGTCCATATATATACTTTTTTCTTTTCCTGTGAAATTCATTTGTGATGTATTTCCCCTTCAGACACTGAACAGATAAGGGCTGTCTATTCATTGTTCAATTCCATTTTATGTGCATCTGTCTGGGACCACAGATACCATATAGCAACTTCAAACAGGTCTTTGTGAAATGAGAAAAAAAAAGTAAGCATCATTTCATTTTCTCTCTGTCCCACGCACAAATTTATCAGTGGTGCTGTATCTTCTCAGCCAGAGAAGTGAAATGAGTAAAATACTGATTTCAAAGACGCAGCACACTGTGGCATTATTTGGTATCGTCTTACCCTGCACACTGGCGGATTGGGGGGGCATTGTTCCAACCCTTACGTTTTTTCTTTTCAACATTGTTGGCTTTCCCCCTCAGATCAGATTGCGTCAGCATCTAAAACTGTCTAGCACCACTTATTAAATACTGAGATTGTCTACAAGTTGTGTGTCAGGTTTCTATAGTTGTCAGTCAAGGTTTAAATACATTCAATAATCTGATATCAGCCTCTGACTCTTTTGTTCACATTGAAAACAAATCCAAGAGCAGACGGTACACCTCAAGCCCCGAGAGAAGCAAAAAGGGGTTATTTTCTAAAGATTGCTAATCCAGTTACCTTCAGAAATATTCACACCCCTTTAAGATTACATTTTTTCTCCCTCCTAAACAAGAGGCTCCTGTATATTTGAAGACTAATTAAACCCCAAATCAACACGGAACTTATTTGCAGATAAACCTGATAAATTAACTAGGCAAACTTTGACATTTGTGTAAACTTGTCGAATTGTTGCCGATCAGGTTGGAGCTGTAAGCATTTTGAGCATTTATAAATATTGTTTTTCAGTTGAACATTTCAATGTCTATTTGTCAGCATGGGGTTGTATTTTAGGTACTTACGATATTTAGTCAGATCTGTGCAATGTTGGTTCCCATAGTAATGACCACACCCCCACTTATTACCCTCCAATCATCCTCACGCCTTCCTGTGTCTTTTGGAAAGTGTCCACTTCTGTATCTGAAGATTCTCGGTCATCCAGGTCATTGTCAAGCTTGAAAAAGTCCAGTCTAGGCAACTGGACGTGAAGTTTTCTGGAAGACGTTCTCATCCAAGGGGCTTCTTCTTGGCCAAGGAGGACCTCCTTGGTCAAGAAGAACGTACTCCTTGGCCAATCTGGTGGCAGGGATGAAAGCCATCTTTTCTCCCCCCTATTTCTTTGTTACATCTACAGTATATTAATCTCAGTGCTCCCCACCACTAGTTAGAACTAAAGAAGCCTCTTGGATGAGAGATGAAACTTCTAGAAAACTTGCACATCCTGTTGCCTAGACTGAACTTTTTCAAGCCAGTCCACTTTGGTTTAATTTTTCTAAATTTGTTTGGGGCAGCAAATGCTTTAACATCATGCCTAGTTACACTTAGAATGCTTTTCCAACGCAATAAAGTACATATAATGGTAATGTGGTGAAAATTGTACATGGTTTTCTACATTATTTACAAACAAAAGTCTGAAAAGTGGGACATATATTCGTATCCACCCACGAGTCAATAATTAGTAGAACTGCCTTTTTCCCCAAGCACTGCTACTCATCTAGAGACATATTTTTGCCTTTTATATTTTTTTATTTTTTTTTTGCCACAGCTCAATACAATATTTTCTTTTGGATTTTAAATCTAGATTTGACTGAGTTAAGAAAATAGAGCGATATACATTGATCATTTCTGGCTGTACATTTAGTATCAATTTTGTCCATAGAAAATGAATTTGCTCTCCAGTCTCAGGTCTTCCCCAATCAACATTACCACAGCATGAAGCGTACCATGTTGCACAACTGCAATGTTGTTTTCAGGTTTATGCATACTTCTCCACTATGCCACTCTCACATACAGATATTTTGAGTTCAAAATTCATATTTTTTATGTTGTTTACCTGACCTGAGGCTATGAATGAACAGCTCTATTGATACTAAAACAAAAGTTTTTCCTGGTGTTTCAGTAGGGATAGGTATTGAGGTGCAATCAGTCTTATTTAGGTGGGTGAGAGTGAGTATGCTGAATGCAAATGCACCCCATAGATTTTCATTTTCTCTTTTGCACACACAAGACCTCTTACTATGGTTCCAATTTGCGTTAAATGTACTGTATCTGAATGCTATTAAAACTTAATTTAGGATAGTGCGTCTTTGACTGCACCTTAATCAAACTCTGCAAGTTTTAAAGCTAATAAATTGACAAAAATCCTTCCACAAATAATTCCCATGATTATCTTCAACATTTTTTCCTGTAAATTTCACACCTGCTTCTTAAGGTAAATAAGCCACTTTTGCCTGCTTCAGTGGACGAGAAATCCCTTCACCGTGCTCTGACTGGATCCCGTCTTAAATCACACCTTAACTGATCTTAGCTCATATTTGGAAAGTGTGCTTAACATTCTGTGATGTGACACTACCCCCCTAATCCGCTTTTAGGTTCACACCAACAGAAAGGCGGAGAGTGACACGTGCTGCACCAAGGACATCAGTGTCATCTTTGAGACGTCTCTTTGACGGGTTGGAGAGTTCCTGTGGTCCTTTTTCGTGCTTAACAACAGACACCAAATCTTTCCCTGGATATGCTTGGATTCGTTGATGTGCACAGAAATGTTTTCAGAAACACAGAAAGCTTACAGGTTTGGTTTGCGCTGCATTGATTGGCAAAGACTTTTGGTCTGGAACAGAGAAGTTTTGTGAAGCAGGCCTTGCCTCTCATTGACTGCATAAAACTGGATGAATGTTTATTGATTAACTGATGCTATGTTTATAGAAGTGTATTGTGTTCTCCAGGGTGTCTTCCTCTACTTTGCGCTCTTGATAAAAAGAATGCAGTTATTAAATTGTTATTTATTACAATAAATTTTATTATTCTGAAGAGAAAGAAATTATTCTTAGAACTCTTTTGATGTGGAAAAACAAGAGAAGCTTTAGGTGAAGCTAGTAGCATCTGCAGTTATTATTGTGCCTTCATCAGACTATTGATTGTTGATAATTTCACTGTTTTAATTGAACAGTTTTCCTTTACACTATCTGTATTGGTTCAATGTCTCATTTTGGTTCTGACAATACTTTGATGTTACCAGCCATGAGAATATTTTATACCCCCTTTAGCAAGCAGTAATTGCAAATGATTATCTTTTATATTTATCTAATCTACCAAAAGGACCTGTAACTTTGTTATCCCGATGAAAATGATCAGTTGTTCAAGTTTAAGTTAAGATTTAAATGTTTCATATTTCTTAGAGTTGCCTCAAGCTGGGATCAGAGTCACAGTCAGTGGAAAAATAGGTTTAATATTACCTGTTTTTTTTTTTTTTAAACAATATACACAGCTCAGAAAATAAAGAGAGCACATAAACAACACAATATAAATTCAATCAAATCAAACTTCAGTGAAATCAAACTGTCCACTTAGAAAGCAGCACTGATTGACAATCAATTTAACGTGCTGTTTAGCAAATAGAATAGACAACAGGTGGAAATTATTGGCTATTAACGAGACACCCTTGATAAAGGAGGTGTTCTGCAGGTGGGTACAACAAACCATTTCACAGTACCTGTGTTTTCTGTTTGATGTTTTCGTCACTTTTGAATGTTAGAGGTGCTTTTTCAATTGTGGTAGAGGCTGGAGGCTCTACCAGGAGACAGGCCAGTACACCAGGAGACATAGAGGCGGATGTAGGAGGACAACAATCCAGCAACAGGATCGCTATTTCTGCCTTTGTGCAAGTTGGAACAGGAGGAGCAATACCAGAGCCCTGCGAAATGACTTCCAGCAGGCGACAAATGTGCATGTGTAAGCATAAAAGGAAACTGACTCCATGAGGATGGTATGAGGGCCAGACGTCCAAAGATGGGGGTTGTGCTCACAGCCTAACATCGTGATGGAAGCTTGATATTTGTCAGAGAACACCAGGATTGATTAATGGAGTTTTATTTACCTCTGACCAAAGTAAAAAAAAAAAAAAAAACACATATAAATAGCTAAAAAGAAAATTTTTGACTGAGGAAGAACTAAAACTTGTTGCACTGTGATTTTTTTTGTTTACTATTACACCAATATTTAGACGAAATCACATTGCAGGCTAGTGAATTTATAATATCTTTTTGTAATTCTTTGAGTTACTGCATGATTATGTATATAGATACAAAAAAGGATGGCATAAAATTGCAAGGATGGGGCTACAAACTCAGTTAAGCTAACAGATAGCCAATTAATGAAATCGGGGCAAATTGTATCTAAATGCTTTATTACAATTTGGTTTAAGAATACATTTGTTTAAGCCTCTTGTTAAACAAACCACAAGAAGCCATCTATTATATTATTGTTTATTCATTTATATTGATTAACAAGATCTTTAAGGAGCTTGTGTATTTAGCTGCTTTAAAAATCTAGGTCTTTAATTTGATGACCTGATGCCGGTTTTAAGGATTCTGTCTTAAAGCTGATCTCTGGATTAAAATATCTGTCAAAACCAAAAGGTTTCATTGAAATTTCGTTTTGTTCTCAATCATGTTGATGTACAAGCTAACATGATTAAATCAAAGAGATACATTGCTGTATACTGTGCTTATATCTGTAGCTGTATTGATATTTAAAATATGGATAACTGCATAATGAGCATCAGAATGATCAAGCCTGGTTTGACATTCAGCTGCAGAGATGCTAAATGTAAACTATGATAGGATGAGTGTTGAGGGATACAATGAAATTCAGACACAATGCTAGTTTAAAGAACTGCTGGCAAAGCAGGCTTTTTGGGGGTTTAAAAGGTTGGTACAATGTTGGCAGATATACAATGATCTGCAGTACACTTCTTTTGTACTTTAAGAGGCTCATCTCATGTGACTAATAAATATTTATGAAATGAGACGATGTTATGTACTTTGTATGTTTACATCAGAATTGAAAAAAAAAAAAACATCTCGAAACAGCTCAGTAAAATATTAGCTTGCTATTTTAATGTTGTTTCAAAAAAAATATGGAGTCGTTTTAATAATTATATGAACTTTAATTAGCACACTCTCATTGTGTTTCTACGATGTAAATACTCCAACCTTATGTCAATAGTTTTCTAATACTCAGTAGTCAGCATGTCTAAATACTACATGCTGCCTTAAGATGAGAGGTTTAACAATGAATAAGCATCTTTCTGGAATCCAGTAAGCCTTCCTGTTGCCAATGAGGCTGCTCTGTAGAGCCCTGTGTGTCTCCCTGCTTTTTTTGATTTTCTTTCCCTCTTTACTCCATCTTCTCATCTGTCCTTTTCTTTCTGTCTTTCTTACTTTCCTCCCGCTTTTATTGTGAATAACCCATTTTTTATTATTTATTTATTTATTTTAACCAAAACTGAAATATCTTTAGCCAGATAAAATGAACATCTTGTAATTTGTGTCATTCAGTTCTCCAGTGCTATAAAAGCCATTCAAAATTATTCAAATCAACCAAATGACCTAAGGGCCAGCTGTCACGTAAAAAACTAATATACCTCCATCCCAGCAGGTGGTGATAAGCAGAAACCAGAGACATAACTAGCTATAGCTCTTTCCACTCATATCTCAGCAAAACTCCTGTTGCAACCATGATAGTATAAAGCCCAAATCTAGAAGGCTGGAAAATGGGGCCCAACTACTGTTCTGTTTTTTTTTTTTAACTCTAACAGATTTATTGTCATTGCTGAATTGATTAAAGATTAATACAACAATTATTTCTTTATATGCACTTCTGTTAGCTTTAATGACAAACAGATTTCTTCAAGAGACAAATCAAACACTGAATAAACTAGACAAGATCAGTTTGCATTGGCTGAATTTAATCTGTTTTAGATCCTGCAAAATGCTGGCATGGTGAGCTGGATGCATTTGCAGTGAGAAAAGGCATCTGATCTCTCAAAACTTTGACATCTTAGGAAAGTAAGAAATATGTTTATAAACTTAGTACATGTTCATATTTTATAAGACTTTGATCTAACTTAAGCATCATAAAAATATATTTTCTTTCACATAAAGCGTAATATATTCAACTCTTTTCCACCAGTACCGTTTCTTTTAAAAAGTCCACTTTGCAACCTCACTGAAAAATGGGTACACCAATAATTTTTTTGCTTAGCACATTACCCTGTCCCCTCAATAACCCTAGGGTAATCGCAAAGTCTTACCCAGATGGACATTTTATCTGGTAAAGTGTGAACCCCAGAAGTTGAAATTACTTGTATTGAAACACACTTCCAAATTCCCAGATATCTGCCTTATGTCCCCGTAGTGGAGAAAGTGTGTATAAATGTTCGTCAATGGCGTTATCAGGCTCCTCTCCTGTGTAACTAACTACCAGTTTAAGTCTGTGATGCAGACACTCTGCTTGCATTTAGGCTTAAATTGTTCCTTTTTGATAGTAGAGTTGCTCAGGTTATCCTGAGCTTTATCTATAGATATGCTGCTATAGGCTTAGACTGCTGGAGGACATACGGACCCATCATTCTGCTTCATTCTATCTCTGTTCTCCCACTCTGCAGAATTTGTAAGTTCAATCTCTAACACAATGCGTTCCCTGCTTTTTCCTCGTGGTTGCTTCATCTGGTCTGTTCCTGTTTGGCTGTGACGCCATCCTGGAGAGAAATATCAGCTGTGCTACCGTCATCAACACATTTGTTTATAGAGGTTTGAGCTTGGCCTGTTTTTTCAGTGCAGTCTTGTTTTTCTGACTGTAACTAGCTGAATATGCTCTCATCATCCTTTGACATGGGAGCTGGCTCGAGTTGTCTGCCTGGCTGTGTGTTTCTTGGACAGGGCCGCCTTGACAGTTGTCTCAGCAGATGGCCGCTCACACTGAGCCTGGTTCTGCTGGAGGTTTCTTCCTGTTAAAAGGGAGTTTTTCCTCTCCACTGTCGCTACAAGCATGTTTGGTGTGAGGGATTGCCTTTGAGTCAATGCAATCAGCTGGCTTTCATTAGATAGAAAACTTTGTGTCAATCTGACTTTATGATCTGGTTTAATTGTCTCTGTAAAGTGCCTTGAGATGATATCTTGTGGATTAGCACTATATAAATAAACTGAAATGAAATGAATTGAAATATGGACTTTGTTATAAAATATGAAATTCAAAACTCATTATTAATAATGTTCTTGCAAGGGTTTGTTCATTCAGAGTGTGGTTGTACTTACAAACATTTCCTCTCAGTTGCTTACTTCTCTGAATTGTGTGTTTGCCTCAGTTAGGTCAGTGGTTATAGCGGGTCTTGAACATGAAGCTACAAATTGGTAAGTGGTTAAAAAAACCTACCTGGTGATTATGTGTGAGTCAAGTGATTTTTTTTTATTGGAAAAGTATTGTAGCTATCCACTCTATCATTACACTGCTTCTACTACAAGCTCCATTAGAAATGGGGCAATTTTAATTTGGCTTCACCCAGACGGTGATTACACATTAAGAGACTCTTGTCAGTAAACACTTAAGCCAGGTTTAGAAGGATGTATTTAACCAGGCCCAAATTTGGGTCGTGAACTGCAGGACATCCGCTTCTTTAGAAGCTGAGTGATTTACACAATTCATTAAAGCCAATGAATCTTCAGCCAGAGTCATATTAAATGGTTACTTACTCTCAAATGGCCCCTTGGGAGCAGGATTGTTGGCTCACGAATAGATTGAAGTTTACATTGAAAAGAAAAATTGAATTCAGAGGTAATCAATAGCACAATGGGGCAGTGAGAGGAGCCTGCTGCCTGAAATGAAATTACCATATTTTTAATCTTAATTTTCCAGTCTGTGTATCTGACAGCGTGGATGTGCAATCCAAACAGATAATGAGAGAGTGGGATATTGACAGTGGGGTCCTCTGGAGTGCTTGTTTCAGTGATTAAACGCTGTGATCTGTGATTACTTTGTGTCGGGTGTCAGGCTGGCGGCCAGGGCCGGGGGGAGAACGAAAAGGCACACGGCAGCTGGAGCATCACAGCTCTCTGAGGTGCTAATGCACCTGATGTAGCGCTGACAGCATCTTAAAATCCATCAGGGACTTTGGCAAAAACGCTATAGAAATACCCCTGGCACTATCTAAAATCAGAGTAGGCAGATATAAATATATCCCTGCATTCTCTCAGCGAGTGAACAGCAATGACAAAGTTTTGCACAAAAGTATTACTTAACAGATACATTCCTATGTTCACCAATAATAGCACTATTTTAACACATAATTGAATAGTTGTAAATAGCAAGGCTGTCAACATACTGCTGATAAAGCCAAAATAAATAATTGAGTGGCAAACTTGGCTGTGCACACAATGAGTTGTAATCCCAGAGAAATAAAGCACAAAAAAGAGTCTGCACAATGTGAAGGTAGTGAATGAAAATGATGAATTCAAACTTTTAGTATCCTCACTTTTAAGAGAAAAAAATGATCTCTCAGCGGTGATTTGAGTGTGTGATACCTGCTATTTTCTGTTAAGAAAGCATCCATTGTCAGTTAAATGAGGAATAATGTAACAAATATCTATAGTAAGCTGAAGGCGTTGTCAATTGCCAATATCTAGGCAGTCTGAGGGCCGTGTCGAGTTTAGGAGACTGTGTTTGTCAGAAACTTTCTGTTTCGCCAGCGATTTCCCTTTTCTTTTGTAATGGATTCTTGCTGTTTGACAAATGGAAACAAATTGCACGGCAAACACGTGTGAGTGGCAGGAAGCCGGGGAGTCAAATCCAGCGTTGAAAGACGACGAAGTGAGAGACTCGGGTTTTTGTTGGCGACTCAAACCTGACTGATCCCAGCATAAAGTACTTGTTGAAGAGAAGGAGAAAAGGAAAACTGGATTTCGACAGGCTGCAGTGAAATTAAGAGAATTGACTATGGCGGCTTTGTTCTTTGTGTGGGTGTCTGTGTGCGTCTAAGTGGGATGGGGGGGGGGCTGGAACCATTCCCCTGAGACTCTGACACAAACTGATATCTGACAAGTTCCCAACGCCCGACGTGACTGTGTGGAACTAAGAAAAAAAAACAACAAATACCACATTTTAAGAGATATGCCTTGACGCAGGTTGTAGTTTGTTAGAAAATTGCTTTTATGTTGTTAAAAATAGGCTCTTAATATAGAATATGCTGTTGCTCTATTTTTTATATAGTTTTACCAACCTAGTTAGACTACAGTTTTTACTGACATGACTTTGGAAAAGTCGGAAAGACAAGAACAACTTTGTGCTGATTTCCCAGTTTTTATTTAACTTTAAGCCAGCAATGTCCACACATAAGCATGAACACACATACATGAGGGATGTAACTAAGCACACTGTATCATGGTGCCTCAGCAGTTTAGCAACCAACCTAGCTAAGCTTTATGGACTCTGAGTAACAGTGCTACAAACAATAATTACAGGTCACAGATGTAGAGGATGATTATATTTTGTAAATCATCCAGTCTGTGGTCAGTTTGAAACTGCAGAGTGTGTAAAGCATTTTACACACCTCTCAATGATATAAGAGGTTCTGATACAAAAAAAACAGTTAACTAATTGATTAATCAAAATTTCCTCCCAAAAAATCACATTTACTGTATTCACATTTATTTGTCTTACAACGAAATTTAAAAATCTGTCCACATTTATGCAGATTTAAACTTTTAAATGTCAAATATATGTCACCAGTAGGACAAAAATTAAGCCTGTAGTATGGATATATTTATATGAAAAAAGAGTTGAGTGTTCAGAATGTGGAATATGATTGAACTGTAACTAGGCAATAATAGGACACACTTCAGTAATACTATTTTGAATTTGAATTGAATCAAAAAACATAAATTAGGTTTTACTATCATACAGTATAAACGATATATAGAAGAGTGAACCAGAGAAAGAGTAGCTAACGAACAATGTGCAAAATACATACTG